CTGAGTGTCCTGTCCAGTGTGAGGTCCTGCCTGGTGCCCTGAGGTCCCAGGAGAAGCTTCAACCTCATTTGACTCTGAACTGGAATAAGCAGGTTGGAAAAGAATTATCTAACTTGTTTTTTGTTTTCTTTTTAATCTTTCTTAAATGTACGGTTAGCTCACATATATTTCAGTGTTTAATATAAGAAATATTTGGGGTCTTTATTTAGAAAGTTTGTGATGTTTTTGTGACCAGAAATATGCTATAGGAAATTAACTCATTTATATCAATTTGCTTATGGTAAAATTGGTTTTGTTATATATCATTTTGCTTAGTCATAGTTTCCAAGAACCTATTGATGACACTAAGTGAGGGCTTACTGTTTAATAAAATGGTATTTGTCTTTAATTATAGAATTTTGGGGTGGTTTGTACATAGCAATAAACAACCAGAGCACCTCTCCTAACTAATACAGAGAGAAAAAACTACCATAAAATCTTATACCCAAGACCTTGATACCACAGCATTTGAAAGTTATTACTTTCCTGATTCATTTTCACATGCTGCCTATTTTTTCTTTTAAAAATCTTTTATACCCATACAATTTTGTATTCAGCTTTTAAATTTAAATATTATAAGCATGTGCCCATGTTGCTCCATAACCTTGGTTTAATAATAGGGTCATATTATGAGGAGACTTTGAATATGTTTTTATTGAGATGCAATTCACATACCATAAAATACATTCTTTTAAAGAATATAATTTAGTGGTTTTAACATATTCACAATGTAGTGCAACCATCACCACTAATTTAAGACATTTTCATCACCCTAAAAAGAAATTCTATACCCATTAGCATTCACTCCCCATTCCCACTTCCCATCCCTACCTCTCAGCCCCTGGCAACCTCTAATCTACTAATCTATTTTATGTCTCTATGAATTTTCCTTTTCTGGACATTTCATGTCAATGGAACTGTGTGTCTGATTTCTTTTACTTAGTATAACCTTTTTAAGATTCATCGATGTTATGGCATGCAGCAGCACTTCATTTCTTTTTATGGCTAAATAAGGTCTTGTTTATGAATATACCATGTTTTATTTATCCATTCATCAGTTGATGGATATTTAGGTTGTTGTCACTTTGGCTATTATAAGATTGTTGTAAAGATCTATGTACAAGTTTTTGTGTGTGGAGTATGTGTTTTCAATTCTCTTGAGAATATACCTAGGAATGGAACAGTTGCATCGTATGGTAGCTCTATGTTCAACTTTTTGAGGAAATGTCAAACGTTTTTCCAGTGGCTGCATTATTTTATATTCTCACGAGCAGTACATGACGGTTTCAATTTCTCCACTTCCTAACCCTTGTGATTGTCTTTTTAATTACAGCCTTCCTAGTAGGTATGAAGTAGTATCATATGTGGTTTTGATTTGCATTCCCCTAATGATTCATGATGTTAAGCATCTTTTTCTTTGTTTGGTTAGCCATTTACATATCTTCTACACAAATATGTAGTGTCTACACAAATCCTTTACCCATTTTTAAATTGGGCAACTTAATTTGTGTTTTTATTGTTGATTGTAAGAATTCCTTATATATACTGGACACAAGTCCCTCATTAGGTTTTCAAATCATTCTTGCTTTAATTTGCAAATATTTTCTTTCATTTTGTGGGTTGTCTTTTCACTTTCTAAATAGTGTCCTTTGAAGCACAGAAGTTTTAAATTTTTATGAAGTCCAATTTACCTATTTTTTCTTTGGTTGCTTAAGCTTTTGGTGCTATATCTAAGAAACCATTGCCTAATCCAGGTCACAAAGATTTCTCCGATGTTTCCTTCTACGAGTTTTATAGTTTTAACTCATACATTTAGGTCTTTGATCTATTCTGATCTAATTTTTATCTATAGAATGAGGTGAAGGTGACTGAATCTTGCTTGTCAAGTGGCAATAGCGAGTCTTTCATATCAAACTGGAGATGAAGGAGAGTAGGAGCGGAAGCGTGAGATGCATGTTCTGGAAAGCAATTAATTCAGTGTGGCCATAGCCTAAGGCATGCAGAGAGTATCCTGAGAGTTATAATAAATAACAGCAACCACACCAAAAGATGGTGAGAAGTAGGAGCCTTGTTTCCCCCATGTTCACCATCAGCCACTCCCTTGCCTCACCAAACAAAGACAAATGTAAGCAAAAAACAGTGTACTAGCTGGAGAATTAGCTTTGGACAATCCTCCAATCCTCCCTGTCTCCCCTTCCAACCAGAGTGTCTCTTAACCCCTCCAATGTAGAAATTCTAGAGCATCTATTGCTGAAGATATTCAATGGGAGGAAGTTGTTTTTTTCTGTGGGCTACTGGAAGTCATTAATGGCTCTTAAGCAGGGAAGCAACATGGGATTTGGGTTTTAGGAAGCCATTGAAGTCAAATGTGTCACAGTTCTCAACATTTTTTCTAACACATAGATTGAGGAGTCACATGGATAGTACACTGTGGGCTACCACACTGATAAGTTGCATGTATGCCTAGTTTCTGGTGCCCTAGGGTGCAGGAAACACCAATTACAAAACATAAAGTAGAATCAACAAGATTGATGATTGATTGGGTGTAAGGAGATATGGACTCTTGGTTTCAGGACTGGACACTTGGGTGAGTCCTGAGACCAGTTATGGGGATTGAAAGCGTGGATAAAGAACAGGTTTATTTTGGGGAAGGAGGAGAGTAGATGTACGTAATATTGCAAGTTCCAGTGGGATACCTAAGCAATTAACTAGTTAATATGTAGTTAATGTGACTCTGAAAGTCAGGAGATCTGGAATGAAGATGAAAATTTAGGAACTCTCAGATGGAAAAAACAAGATAAGCTCACCCAGCACGCATGAGAAAGTAATCTAGTTCCAGGCTTGGAAGGAGGGGGAAAGAACAGAAATAAAAGTTCAACTCCCTGGCAGCAACCTTGAACTTAAGTGGGTGTTTCACAGCCTTCCTTTGAAGCCACTGTGTATCAGCTCCAGCACAGCCTCTAGTGCTTCCTCTTCTTTCCTGTGTGCTCTTTTCGGTGTTGCCAGGCTTTTCACCATTTGTTCACTCAGCTCACCAGACATCCTGCCTATGCTCTACCTTCCTCTAACTGTTGTTCATTCATGCAGCCATTTACTGAGCAGCTGCCCAGTGCCAGGCACTGTACTTGGTCCAGCAGTGACCAAAACTAAGCCCTTGCCTCTAATTAAAGAGACAAATACACAGAGATAATTAAATACACATATTGGGGAGAGATAAATGCTCTGAAGAAAAGGCAAGTAGAGTAAGGGGATGTAGAGTGATGCAGGTGTTCTTATTTTAAGTAGGACAGTAAGGAAAGTCATCTCTGGAGGTGACATTTGAGCAGAGATCTGAATGAATGGTGAAAGTTCTGAGTAAAGAAGGCGTGGCTAAATCATATATGTCTTTATAAGACAAAGTAAGGAATCTGGTTTTTATTCTATGTGGCATGAAATCACTGGGGAAAGGAGTATTGAGTAGAGGAGGGACATGATATAACTTAGATTTTAACAATATCCCTCTGGCTGCTGTACTGAGAATGAACTATTGGGGGCAAGGGCAGAAGTTGAGGTACCTTTTAGGACAATGCAATAAGCCTGGCCAGAATAATGGTAGCATGTTACAGAGAAGTAGGGATGGAGATGGTGAGAAGTGGTTAGATTAAGATGGGTGGTTATGCCCTGGAGAGTTTTGCTCAGTGGTTAGAGCCTCAGCCTACAGACCAAAGGGTTGTGGGTTCAGTTCCCAGTCAAGGGCACATACCCTAATTGGTGTTGTGCAGGAGGCAACCAATGAGAGACACATGGATGTTTCTCTCTCTTGCCCTCCCTCCCACTGTCTAAAAAAAAATCAATGGAAAAATAACCTGGGTGAGGATTTAAAAAAACAAAAAAGATGGGCAGTTATAAGCAAAAGTCCATTACAAGGAGAGTGAAAGTTCAGGGTGGTGGGGTTTCCTCACTGGCTGGGCTGTTTGCTGAACTAGGAAAAAACTTTCCTTCCTCCTGCTGGGGTAGCAAAATAAGCTTCTTCATGTCCAAGTTTGTAAAGTAAGTTGTGCCGGTTGTCCTTTCCAGAGAGCTCCCCTTCAGTGTGTCCCCACTCCACTTTGAATGAGGTTTCCTTTATTCGTTTTCACACCTCAATGGAGAACAATGGAGAAAGGAGAAAAGTGGAAAATAAAGAAGTGGAGATCAGAAGTAGGGCTTTGGACACACCAAGTTGCCAATTACACATCCAACTGGCGAGGTTGTGTCTATTTATGAATCCAGGGTTCACAGAACTGCAAATACCAGAATGGGACCATCCGAAAATGGGCAGAATCCCAGTTCCAGGAGCGGTGGGTAGGGCGGACTCGGTGGGCTGCGGATGCTGCAATGGGGCCATCAGACCTAAGGGACACAGTTGCCTCCACGGGGAAAGAACTGGGTCTTAAAGGAGATTTCAGGCAGAGGGACGTTTATTTATTTTTTTATCCTCACCTAAGGACATGTTTCCATTTTTTGTTCAGATAGAGTGGAAGGGAGAGAGAGGGGGAGAGAGAGAGAAACATCGATGTCAAAGGGACACATCAAGTGGCTGCCGGGCCCAACCAGGGCCCAGGACAAACTGCAACCGAAGTGCGCGCCCTTGGCGGGAACCGAACCCGGGTCTCTCTGGACCAAAGGTCGATGCGCTAACCGCTGAGCCAAACCGGCCAGGGCGAAGGCCAAGCGTTTAAAGACAAGATGCAACAGGCTTGGAAATGTTGAAGACCACAGCTGAGATCCACAGGACCCCGCGCACCCAGGGCCGTGCGCCACTACGCAACTGGCCTCCCCTCTCAGCCGCCCAAGCGGGCCAAGCGGGCTACCGGGACAACAGAGTCCGCAGAGAACTGCGGAACCTCCCGCAGCCGGCGCAGTCTCGCGAGAGCCCGGCCTCGCTGGCCCAGCATGCCCCGCGTCGCCGCCCCTGCCGCCGCCGCCGCCGCCGCCTCGCCGCGGCTTAAGGGCGGAAGGCTGGGGGAGGGTAGCGGAGCCGGCACCGCCGCCATGTTGGGTCTGAGGCTGCTGCTGTAGGCGCCGTTGGAGCGAGTGTCGGTGCAGAGCGGTGACCGCGGCGTGGGATCTGCCTCTCTGCGAGCGGCCCCCAGCCGGGGCGGGCGGCGCCATGAGTGGGGGCACCCCTTACATTGGCAGCAAGATCAGCCTCATCTCCAAGGCGGAGATCCGCTATGAGGGCATCCTCTACACCATCGACACGGAGAACTCCACCGTAGCCCTGGCCAAAGGTACTCGGGGCGGGGTGTCTGCGGGCGCCCGCTCGGGGCTGCGCTCCGCTTTCGGCCCGCGGCCTCCTCGCTGCCCTCCCCGCCCGCCGTCCTCGGGGAGGCCGCTCCGGGGCCGTGGCGTCGCGGGCGGGCCGCGGCCTCCCAGGGCTTCCTGGCTTCCACGGCCGAGGTCCGCGCCTTCCATCCGGGAACTACGCGACCAGAGCGAGGCGGGCGGGCGGCCTGGAAGCTCCAGAACGGGCAGGAGAGCGCGGAGAGACGGGTCCTCCAACTCTGAGATTCGGTGGCCCGTCGTCTCCCCGCGAAACAAAGCCTGAGTAGTCGTTTTTCCGCCTCGCTTGAGTTTAGGTCCGATTTCTTGCTTCTACAGCACCATTTTCTCAGGTTCTCAGTGTCTGTCTGTTGCGCTGGTCCCCAGGTGAGCTGGAAGTCATGTGCCGAAAACTTTGGCTTTGCCCTGCGATGCACACGGTCCCGGGCAGACCACATCCCACTCGTCTCTCCTGTGTGGTGTTTATCTCTTAAACCGGAATCCGTCTCAAAGCCTGTTGTGCAACCATCTCTTTAAACATGCTTGCTGCGCTCGCCTTGACCCTGTTTTTGGAAGCCCGGTGGGAGACGGGTTCGAGCTTGCACCAGGGCCCTGGTTCAGAGGCGGACCGGAGTGGTCGGTGGGCGCTGGCCCGCCCCTGGGCAGGCTCGCTGGGACCGGGAGTTCAGGGTGTTGAGGAAGGTGCCCTACCCTGGTGCTTAGCATCGCCACGGTCTGCGTGGGTTGCTCCACGCGCACTGGGCCAGCTTTCCGCCAGAAAACCAGGGGAAAAAATGAACTTTTTAGGCTCTTGATCTTAAAAGAAATTTTGCGGGTTTGGCATACTTACGAGAGGGAAGCATGACAATAACTAAGGTGATTTTCCCAGCACGTCTGTCTGGTAGACTTATGGAATAAGAAGCTTGGTAGGGACAGAGGCCCAGGGATAGGAAGAAATTTTCTAAATCTGTTTTTTAAAAAATGAATCTTTATGTGGTGTAACGGGTAGGAGAATCATTTCACAGTATCAAACAAGTATTTAATGACATTTTTAGGATGCTCTGGTAGATCTTTTTAATAGCACTTGTGTTGGGACAAATTTTATACCTAGGTAAGGATGCCCCCCCCCATATTTGCTGTATAGTGTTTTAGTTTTAATGACATCATGAAAAAGACTCTCTAACGTTCTTGGTGAAAACAGTACAGTATTCCTTAATAAAGTGGTTTAATAACTTTTTATAAAAAAACCACTGTTTAATCCGATCTGAATTTTAAGGTATCTTGTTATGTTAGTGATATATCAGTTGGTTGTGCCACCTTTACTCCTCTCAAAGAGAAAAAATCTATACATTTTAAAGATTTCTAATGTAGTCTCCAGTGTATTAAAATCTATGAATATAGTCTTCTATACAAGAACATAAAAATGTCTATAGTTTGTTAATGGCCCACATTTTTTAAATTGTCTTTTCAACAGTTTTTAACGTCAATAAACGTTTTATTAATCTATAATAGTTAAATTCATATGCCAAACATAATTTGTTCCTCGTATCATGGCTTGATAAATATGTGATATAAGTACAGCAATAAAAAGATTTTTAATCATTTAATTTATATGGCTTTGATATTTAATGCCACATACATAATGTATGCTTTTTAAAAATCAGTGTGTTTGCAAAAACTGGAGTTATGAAATCTTGGTATATGGATTAGTCTCTTTAGCAGTATCTAATCTCAAACTGCTGTATAGACTGTCCAGTCAACACTGGACACTTATTTCAAATTTCAAAATTAGAAGTGGGTATTTGGAATTCAAATTTTAGAATTTGTGTGACTTCTTGAGTAATTCGATATCTGAAATTCAGCCTTTTTCAATATTAGGATGAAGAATGGCATTGGGCCCCAAGTTTATTTGTGGAGTTTAGAATACAGTATGTATTTGGATTTAGAAATCCAGGTTACTTTTTTTAAAACTATATATTGAGTTAAGCTCTTTGAGTAACATTCTTAGAATTCTCTTTAGGATGTTAATTTTTTTATTTTTTATCTCCTCTGAGGAGAGTATTTGCCTTTTTTATTGCAAACTATAATCATACATGTTGAAAAGATACATAGATAAAAATGAAATATTTTAAAACAGAGAACCTTGTAAATACCACCCAGAGCAAAACAGACATTGCCAGCATCCAAGAAACTCCCCCCTTGCATCTTCCCATCTCAACTACTACCCTCTTAAGCTAGATACAAATGTTATTCTGACATTTATAGTTTTATCACTGAGGTTTACATACCTAAATAATAGAGTTTAGTTTTGCTCATTTTTTAACTTTACATACATGGAATCATCTTGTATATAAAGGTGTTGGCAAAAGTAGGTTTACAGTTCATATAGAAATATATATAGAATACAAGAATAAACTCTTGTTTCATGTACTCACAACTGTAAACCTACTTTTGCCCACCCTGTATTTCATTTGGGGTTTTTTTGTGGCATGGTATTCCATTATAAATATGACAGGTTTATCTATTCTGCAGTTGTTTTGGATATTTCTGCAATTGATGTTTAAATTGCCTACAAGTTTCGGTTATGAACAATGCCTTTATGAACATTGTGTTTAAGTGCACTGATACGCATTTTCTTGAGGGTAATTTTCTTGAGGGTATGAGTATACTTTGAATTGCAGGATCATAAGGAATATGTGTCTTTATTAGGTAATGCCAAGTAGTTTTCCAAAGTAGTTGTTGACTAGTTTTTGTTTTCATTTATTAGTGTATGAGAATTCTGATGGTTCCACATCCCTCACCAACAATAATACTTAGTGTCAGTAATTTTGGTTCTAGTCAATCTGGTGGGTATGTAGTTGTACCTGGTTTTAATCTCTCTAATTACTAATAAGGTGTGCCCACCTTTTCATATATTGGTCATTTGGATTTCATCTTACATGAATTGCTTTTCAAATCTTTTGCCCATTTTTCTATTGAAATGAATGCCTTTCTAGAGTTCGGTCTTCTGAATACGAATCTTTTGCTGGATGTATCTGTAGCAAATAACTTCTTTAATGGTTTATTTTGGTTAACAGAGAAGTTCTTCATTTTGATGTAGACATGTTTATCACTCTATATGGCCAGTGTTTTTCTACCTTCCTTCCTTCTTTCCTTTCTTTTTTTAAAGGAATTTTTCTTTACCCCAAGATCATGGAGATACTTTGATGGTCTTCACAAAACATTTTTCTTTGTCTTTTCACATTTAGGTCTACAGTGCACCCAAAATTGATTTTGTGTATGGTGTGAGGTATTTAAATCTTTCAAGTTAGTAAGGGATTCACTTAGTGTATATGGTCTGGATTATAATTTAGGTCCTTTACTTGGATATTACTTATAATTTAAATTCATCTGGAATAAAAAGTACTCATGAAATTTTGGGCTAGTTAGGTTTAATGCACTATGTAATTAGGGTGACCATATGGCCTTGTTTGCCCTGGTGGAAAGTTCTTGTTTGTGTCTGTGGTCTGGCATAATTATTAGAACATCCCTTTTCTCTCTTGAAAGTATTTTAGTTTGGGTGATAAATTGGATGGTCACACTATATCAAATAAAAAACCCAACCCCAAAGGTATTGCTAAATGGGTGATGTCCTTTATTTTCTGCTAGAGATTTCACAGATTAGTTCTTAATTCTGTGAAAGTGAAATTAGGTAAATTTGATAGGTATTGATACTCAGAATTTTCTAAATGAATGTCAGGAAGTCTTAAAGGTAGCCTACAAAGACTTTCATGTCAGTCTGAATTGTAGGTTGTCCTTGTCACACCTCTGAGTTTTATTCCTAGCACTGATCATGACCTACACATGATCTTATTTGCTTATTTGCATGTGTTCATTAACTGTCCTCACCTTCCCTCCCCCATAGAGTGAGCTCAAGCTCCTGGGATGAACAAATGTTTATTTAATGAATGAGTAAAGGGAAATTATTTAGCATTTTAGTTTGTTAATCTTGTAGAAATCTCTTGAACATATCTCCAGATAATAATTTTCCATGTTCACAATTGTATTTCTCTTTAAAATCAAAATACCTAACATATGTTGCCCCCTCCCCTTCTAAAAAAGTAAGTGATTTTGGAGAATTGGTGTACAAGAGGATAAAATCTTAAGACAAAATAGATATTATTGTGGAGACAGTTTTATCTTATGGCTCAAACTCAATTGTAATTTTCAAGAATAAGTTGAGGTATTGAGGGACTTGCAAAGTTGTGGCATACATGAATAGTTTGTGGAATATTTCCAATTATATATGTGAATATGATGCCCAAGCACATGTTAGATTCTAGACACTAAGAGATTCCCCACAGAGTGGAACCTCTGTGGTATCAGGATTTTTGTCTCATTCATTGTTCTATCCTTAGTGCCTAGAATAGTGCCTGGCACATAGCATGCTCTTGGTAAATATTTGAATAAATGAAAAGATATTTGTAGATATTAAAGGTTTCTAATTATGGGAATTTCAAAGCTTGAGGAAGTACACATTTCCTATAAACATATATAGATCTTAACACTGTTTAAATAAAATGGGCTAAAATGAATGAAATTTATATCTAACATATTTAGTAGTGGATAATCCACTACTCAAATGAAAACTAAATTGCCACTGCATTAGGAAAAGAAACTTTGTGAAGAAGAATAATTTAAGCCAGTTGCTTTTTAAAATGGTTTGTCCTTAAAATCAAGGGATTGGTGGAGGGATATACAAACAGGTAAACTGGCCCAGCTCAGTGGTTGAGCGTGGACCCATGCATCAAGAGGCTGCCAGTTCAGTTCCTGATCAGGGCACATGCCCAGGTTGTGGGCCTAATCCCCAGTGGGGGCAATGCAGGAGGTGGCCAATGGATGTTTCTATCTCTCTCTCCCTCTCCCTCTCTCTCTCTCTCTCTAACATCAGTAAAGGAAAAAAAATTAAAAACAGGTAAATTGGTAATAA